ATTACACTTAGTAGTCAGAAAATTTCTGTCCTGCTCCTTATGTAGTACAAGCCTGTCATTTAAGTAAAGGAATTCCTAGTGCAAACCACAAGCACCCTGTAGTTTTGAATGATCTGAAGACAATTGATTTTTAAAGGTCTCACCACTTGGCACCCCATCAAAACATCCCTTTACCTGTCATCAGTTTTCACAGGTGAAAGCCCTGTTGAAGAGTAAAACTGCAAATTTTTTATAAAAAAGGAAACAATTGTATTTTCAGAGTATTTTGGGATTAATAGTGCCCTATGTGAAGAAACATTATACATATTTTTAAGTATAGCTCTTCATTATCTTCACTCTGTTATGTTCCTTTCTTTGCTTTGTGTAGGCAGAAATCCAGCACCTGAAAAACATCCACAGGGCAGCCCATCAGGAAAGGAAGCTTTTATTAAAGCAGCAGAGAGAAATCTTAATGATGCAGCATTCAACAGCACAACTCCAGGAAAAGCTGCACAGTTTGGCTGGAGAGCAGGAGGTTGTGAAGTCAGGGAGTAAAGACATTTGTGTCCAGCTAAAGCATAAAAAGAGCAGGAAATATGAGGGGTAGGTAAAACCTTTCTCAGTGATTGCTGAAGGTGAGAGCAAACCCAGCGGAGAAGATGGAGACAGGCATGTCCTAGATAATGGTGTGAGCTTTAGATACTCCAAAGAAGGAGTGTATAATGATAAATTTTTCCAACTTCTGTGTTCAAGCAGTTGATAAATCAAGATCACTGCTTATCATTCTGTCTCAAATGGTGAATTCCTCAGGGCACCTTCAAGGATGCCACACAACTGCTAATGATAGTTCATGCTTTCATGGTGGCTTTTAACTACAAACCCAAACACTTTGCAACTATATATTAATTAGGCTTCACAATACCCATATGGAATGAGTAGAAATGTATTGATTTAATTGGGGAAATTCACTCCTTTGTCACCCTCTGGCTCTGAGCCTCTGGATCACTCAGTCCCTCAGAGCTGGTCTGTGCTTCACTGAGGATTTAACCAGAGAAGGATTTTGGAATACACAGGGCTAAATTTTAGGCTTAAACTGAAGCACAGAAGTGTCATGTAAAATCCTACAGTGAGCTCTAATTCAGGAGTTTAGTCAGACTGAGAAATCCCCATCCTGCTGTTCCCCAGGAGCATCCCTGTCTGCTTCCTGCTGGGCTGCAGGAGCTGAGCAGTGTGAATGAGAACCCCACAGCATCCACACTGCTCAGAACAAAAATCTAGTTTGCTTCAGGAAGAGAAAAAGCAGTTAGAGACACATATTTATCAATGTGAATTAAAACCCCCTTTCATTCAGTGTTACCCAGAGCTTTAGCAGGGTGGTGAGTCAGGTTTGTGCATTTACTTAAGTCCCCACAGGGGAAGGCTTTCAAATAAATCCCTGCATGGAACTGATCTATAATTCATGGTGTTATTGATTACAAGTCAGAGAAATCTTTAAAAGGTTTCTTGGCTGTGCTTTCACTTCTTATTACTGACAAGGCTGCTTGTAGGAGAACAGTGAATATTGGTGTCAGTCTGGAGCAGCCAGGGGCTGTGGAATCAAATGCACCCAAATTCTGGCTGCTAGTCCATAGATCTCTGTCCTGTGCAGGAGTGCAGAGTGGTTATTATGCTATTTATCCACCTGCATGGGTGTGTTCATATTTTATACTGATCAGGAACAAAGCATTCCATGTCTAACTCTTTACAGCTTTTCTACTGAGAACAAGGAATCACTGGTACAACACCAGAAACAGGTGGAGGAGTTGCCAGGTTTGGAGCAGTCCCTTAATGCTCAGGATGATGTTTTCTTACCTCTGGAACGTACAAATTCAGCTGGAATGGAACCTATTGCCACACCTGTTACAAGAAAAGGCCAGAAGTGTGTATTTCTGGTAAGGATCTCTTGAATTCCATTAATGCCTAAAGAAAGGGTGTCCCAGATTATTTTTGCCTTAATATAGGACCAGCACAGGACTCATTTGGCACTCAAGAGCATGAAGTCAAAATAAGTGTGTTGGTTACGTGCACTTTTTCCTTAAGACATTAACTCTGTCTCCTAAATGTTTACATTCTAGGAATCTGTGCTGGAGGAAAAGGCACTTCTTTCAAACCCTGATCCTAAAGATAATGAAGATCTTAATCCATGTGGCAGAAAGAACCCAGTGAAAGGCTTGGGGATGCTTCCTACTTGGTGTAACTTATGCCTGGTTCAGGAGGAAAACACTCTTGAAGGAACAGGTCAATCATATTTAATGCTATTATGTCCAATCTGTTTCAACTACTTCAATCAAATTTTAATCCAGACAGAAAGAGAGACAATCTTCTCATTTATTACCAAAGTGTCTTGCTCACTATAGCCAATGTATAAATCACTGCTGGGCAAGATGGTGGGGATCTCTCAGAGGTTTATTAAGAGATCTGATTATAGTGCTTCCCAGAACGAAATCATAACTTACTCTGATTGTGTCATTAACAATTTGCTCTCTTTTGATACAGTTATTCAAGAATTTAAGGCTGTTCTTTTTAAAAGAACATAGATCAGTTGAAGATAGACTTGGACAGGACATGCTGGAGTTATTTTTGTTTCCAGGTTTTATCCTCAGCTCATATTTCTTACTCTCAGTAGGACAGGTGAAAAATAAAACTGTCTGTTTATATATGAGTCAGTTATATCATTTACATAGTTCTGGGTATCCATAATTTCTGTAATATAAACATTTACATATTGTGGCAGTATTTCCTATTTCTGTCATTTTTCTAATGAACCATCTTTCTGTGTTTCATAGAATATCCTGATTTGGAAGGGACCCACAAGGATCATAAAGTCCAGCTCCTAATTTACTCCTAGATATAATAGTGAGGAGCATGATAGATTTGAGTGTCCTATCAGCAAGCTCTTCTATAAAATATTTTTCTTTTAAGTGATGATTAAAAAAAATTTCTTTTAAATGTTCCAGTTAAAGAAGTGGAAGTGCCTGTCCCTTTTGAGATCCATCAGGTGGATACCAGTCAGTGTTTGAAGCATTTGGACCATGTTTCTCATGAAGTTTCTGACGAACAAAATTTAAAAGCATTTTCTGAGGGATTAACTTCCACTGAATCATTGTCCAGGTCAAATAACTCCTTTTTGCAATGTCAAAGTGCCAAGTCAGACTCTTCTCACTCAGAATTTCAGAAAGTGTCTGCAGTTTGGATCAGCTTCTCAAAAAGTTCCATTTCAGACCCAGAATCAGAGCTGAAGCATGGAGAGGACACAGATGTCAGCGTCCCAGAAGAGTTTGTCTTAGACAGTGGTGATGTGTTTAATATCTCAAAAGAGATGCCAATAGCAATAAGCAATGGAAAGGAAACATCACCTAGTGACAAACACAATGAACGTGAGCTGCCTGAAGATGACAGAGCTGAGACTTCATCTCTCTCCCAGAAATACCCTGGAGATGTGTTGGGTCATGGCTGCACTGACCACCTGCTTTCCTTCATCCCAGCAAACAAAGCAATTGTCTCCAGAACCGAGTCAGCACATTGCTCCCAGCCTGAAAACCCTTCTGAGGGAGTGGATGAGCCACACCTGGGTGCCCCACAAAGCTGCAGCAGAAACAAGCCCTGTTCTCAGGAGATCCCAACACTGGGAAATGATGCAGCTGCCAGCCCTTTGTGCACTGATGCAACCTCCAGCAGTGATAAGGGGCTCCCTCCAGCTGATGAGGATACCTTGTCAGAAGTGCTGTGTCCTGTGGGTGAAGTATTGTCCTCTGGAAGTGCTGACTTGCCATCCTCTAACAAAAAGGATTTGTCTTTTCCAAGTGAAGATCTTCCTCCTCCCCCTTTAGGTGCAGATGCAATGAAAAATGGTGATCCTGCCTCCAGCATGGATGATTTCACATCTCCACTGGAACAAATGACAGGCTCAGAGTCTGGTCAGGGCACGGATGAAGATCTGTCACTGGAAATGGATGCATTACCCCCATTACCTGATAACACTGTGCCTGAGGAATCTCCCCTGCTCAGTACAGAGACAAGTGGTGCTTTTTCAACTCAGGATGGTTGTCTCTCACAACAATCTATTACAGCTCTTTCTAGCTGTTTATCAGAAAACCAGCATGGAGAACAGGAGATGCCTTTGCAGCATTTGGAGTTTCTACCTGTGTCAAATACAGATTCTTCTGGTGGAAGTAAAAGTCCTGAATTCCCAATGAAACAATGCAAAATGTGTGAAAAGCTGCCCAGTGCTGAGGAGGACAGTGATGACCCATTATCATCATTTGAAATTGGGGGCAGAGTGTTGGTAAAGCAGAGCCAGCCTGGAACTCTGATGTTCAAAGGCCAGACTCATTTTGGCAGTGGCCACTGGGCTGGTGTTGCACTGGACAAAGCTGAAGGTGACAATGCTGGAACTTATGAAGGGGTGAAGTACTTTGAGTGTGCTCAGCACTGTGGGGTCTTTGTCAGACCTGATGAGATTTCACACCTGTTTGGGGTTAACAAAAATAGCTCCAGTTACATGGGGAAGGAAGAATCTGACTCCTTCCATGATGATGATGATGATGACTCCCTCAAAGGAGACTGCAAATATTCTGGAGATGATGAGCAGAGAGTGGGGTTTGCAGAGGAGAAAGCAGAAGACACAAACAGTGCAGGAGGTTCAGAAGTAAAAGAAAACCAGTCTTGGTTACACAGTGCCTTGCTGTGTGGAAAAGGGCAAAAGTTTCCCCATTCCAACCAGTGTAACTGTAATGAATTCCTCTGTCAAAAGAACTTAATGTGCTTGGGATCAGATAAAGAAAAACCAGAACTGGCACAAATAAAACAAACTATATTTGCAGATGCTCTTCCAAAGAAAAGCAAGACAGATGAGGTAAACACAAGCAAAAATATTTGCTGCTTGGTAGAGGATCAGAAAAGAATTAAACTTGCTGATGATATTGCAAGTGAACTCAGTAAAAAACTTCTGTTTGACATTTTAATTGCATTTTCTGAAACAGCTCAACACAAATATAAAAGTGCCTTTGAAAAAGACATGATGAATTATGGCAAAGGCCTGAGGCAAGAAGACAATCAGAAACCATTTCCCCTCAAAGAAAATTCAGTTGCTGCCTTATCTGAGCCATCAGCAAAGGTTTCTGATGTTTCACTGGGTGATTTTGATACGCTTTGCATTCATGGTTGTCACACAGTAACAGACAGAATTGTAACTAAATTTATAGATGATGCAGTTAAAGAATATAAGAAGATTAAAAGAAAACACAGATCAAAAGCAGACAAGATACTTCATTTATCTCCAGAGACTTCTCCAACCACTTTGCCTGTGAGTACAGTGAGAAAGTTTTTATTTCAAGTGCTGGCCCTGAAGCTGGGTCTATAGAAGCAAGAATTTGTGTGGCCCAGTTTTTCATCCATTATATCAATGTTTCATCAATTATATCAATGTTAGGAACCAGATTGCTCACTTCATGTGACCCATTCCTTATTTCAGGAATTATTTTGTATCCATTGGATAGTATGGTCCAAACAAAAATGGGAGTTCTTGATTGGAATTTTGAATAATACATCAGTAAGCCTTTCTCTGAGCCCATGAATAAAATGGTTTTAAGTGTAACCTTGATCAGTTGCTAATAATCCCAATACCTCTGAAAAGATGGAATATATCTGTCTTTCCTTTTCCTCTCTAGAAGCTACTTTTAAAAATCCTTGATGCTGGTGTTTTTGGAAGCTCTGAAGATTTTGATCAGCCTAATTCTGACCAAAACCTGCTGATGAGACAGACACAAAAGCAACACTTGTACAAATTAGACCAGTGGCACTCAGCTCCTTGGAAGAAAACTGTGGAAGTCCCTCTTGTGATACCACATAACAGTTCTTACGTTAAAAATTTGTCTGCATATGCTGTGGAAGAATTATGGACCCCAGAGAACATAAAATCAAATTTCAGGAACATCAACATGCCAAAGTACTTGGAATACAGTGATCTCCCAGGGAATGATTTGGAAGCACAGAGCAAGAGGATGTATAATCAGGTATTTTTAAAGCACTAACTGTTAATTAACTTTTGTAGTGTTCTGGAGGCTGAATCATATTAGCTAATATTTAATGTTATTCCAGTTGCTAACACTAAATAGAACTAAAGCAACACTGAAAGGTACTACCAGGAGTATTTAGCAATTTGCTGCAGAATAATTCCAGTAGAATAAATGTCCTTGTAAGAATCCAGAGTTCCACCATAAGCCCTTGGACACCTGCCCCAGTGTGTGTTTGGGTCTGTTCAGGCAAAGCCAAGTTCCATGGGAAGCTGGGGGCTGAAATCCAGAGTTTTCCTGACTTCAGTGCCCTGCTGAGTTTGTTACAGGTTATATTTGATTTGAGCCATGAGTTGCTGTGTGCAGAATATCAAGTGACTGCAAAGCCAAACATCTTTCCATGGATGGAAAAAGTGGGATCTCCCTGTTGCAGGCATCTCTGCAGCAGGACAGATGTCAGTGATGTCAAGGTATGTTCTGGCAATGTAAAGTACAGGAACGAGAGTGGAAAGAGCAGAGATTGCAAAAAGAAATGTGAAATATGGGAGGATTATGGCAATGTAACTGAGGTGATGGGAGAAGAAACAGTGTTACCCTGAAATGCCTGAATAAATACAGACTGAGCTGATGACTCAAAATATTCCATATGTGTGGAGTTAAGAATGGGAATGGGCCTTTAAACTCTCCTAATTATGACTATTTTGTGTGTAATATCATGATTAAAATGTGTTGGTTGGCCAGTATTGATCAACTACCTCTAGATCAGCCCCCTAAACTTTGGGGTGTTTCTGGACTTAAAGCTGGATCTTCTCACTGGCACCTTCACAGCACAGAATTCTTATGAGGAGAGTTCTTTTCAGCCTTCTTTATTTTGTAGACGTTTGTTCAGGGTGAAATTATTAAAATAATGAACCTGGAAAAGAATGACTTAGAAATGAAAAGAAAATTCCTAAATATGACCAAGTATGGAAACTGTAAGAGAGACAGAGTGGACCTTATTCTGGTAAGCAGAATTTCCAATGGGCATTTGTTTATTTCCTCTAGATTTAAACTAGAAATTCTCATCCTTCTGTGAGAATCACATTTACTTAAGTTAATTTCAGAATTTTAATTTTTCAAATTACTGCCTTTTAAAAAATTGAATTAATAATCCAGTATTTCCAGCTCTTGTGAGTGGCTTAAATTAAAAAAATTAATGATACAGATGTAAAGTTGTTGGATTAGGTGCCGTGTCTCAGTACTTTTGAGAAACTCTTCTTTTTAAAGCAAAAATTTGTTTCCATGTTATATTTTAGATCCAGGAGCTCCGCAAAGAAGAATCTCAGTGGACTTTCTATGGTGATGATGAATTAAGAGTGAAGATGAGGATGACTGAAGCCATATTCGATAGCTTGATCCTTGATACAATCAGAGTTCTTAATCAGATTTATCTGAAAAAAGCCTCTTTGACAGGTGACTGTGCACCATCTTTTCTCTTTTAATCCACTGTGGAACTGGTTAAAAGGAGATGGCTTCAGAGAGCTGGCACAGGGAATGGCAGGACCTGGAGCCAGACAATCGGGTTAAATGTCTATCATTTTATGCAAATGAGGCAAATACTGATGTGATGCACTTTAAATTGGAAATATTTCTATCAGCACCTTCAATTCCTAACAATTAGATGTGTGCCTGTAATTGGGTTATTTATCATGCAATTCACAGGAGCCCATTTTTACAATATCTAAATGTGGGGTGCTGAGAATGTACTTTAACAGACAAAAAGAGGAAATCAATACTCTTTTTGTATAGGCAAAACTGGGGGAAAAAAAATCAAGATTTTGACAAGGAAATAGAAGCATTTCCTCAGCATGGTAATTGTTCACAATGCTAATTGCTGTGGTCCCACCTATTTTGTACTGAGAAAATCAAATTTTTGTTAGTTCTTTTTAAAATAAATGCTGTGCAAATATTTCGTACTGGAATTCAGGAACTGTTTATTATTGAATAATTGATTGTAAAGAGATCAGAGTTTTTCCAATCCTATTCAAATAAAATGAAAATCAGGATCAATAAAGATAAATTATCTATAAACTTAAGATTTAAAAATACAATACTTAAAATCTGCTTGGGGAATAGAAAGACATTTTATATTTGTATTTTTAAATAGTGTTGGCTTAATTGTTTTTTGTACTTGTTTTCTGAATAAAATATAATACACATGGCTTATTTTGTTTATTTGTTTTCACTGGAATCAGTTAGAATTACAGATTATCTTGTGCACACTGTTTTTCTCAGCAGTGAATGGGTGCATTTTTGTTTTGTTTTGCTGGGCACGTTAAACCCTCCCCTGCTTGTTGCCATATGAACAGAAATAAAAAGGCAACTTCTGCCCCCAGCACTTTAACTGGTGATCTTATCCTATAAACTATTTTCATGTCTCTTGTGGTGCATTTCCTTGTTTCTGACTTTATCCTCATTGATTAGTTAATCCACATAAGTTACTTGTTTTCTTGTTGTCAGTTTATAGCAGAATTTAACTCCATTTTTTTTCTCCTGGACTTAGAGTGTTGGATACAATGACAAATCTATAAATTGCAGCACTCTGGCTTTTCAGTTTATTCTCGCTCTGGTTTTGCAGCAGCAAGATCCCTGTGTTTGGAATGAAATCTATTAAAAATATCACTTAGATATGAATAAATAGCTGAAGGACTTTGATTTTTAGCCTTATGTTCCACCTGAGGCAGAGACCCATCAGATTTGCAGTGAGCGCTGTGAGTGGAGCCTGAACCCTCACACGGTGCTCTGCAGGGAAGGACACAGCTATAAAGAATAAAAAGTGTGTACACAGAACATGTCAGACATGTTTAATATCCCCCACCATTCTGTGTTCAAAAGCTGAGATTCTGGCACCCAGATATATTGACCTGTTCACTCAGTGGCAAGGCTTCAATATCAAGATTACTCTCCTTCAAGGTCTAATATTTTGTTTGCCTTGGGTTTGATCAATATTAACCTCCTGGGTCAATAAATCTTGATACTAGCCTCAAGAGGAGTCATTATCTTTCATAGAAAATGATTATTTCTCAGTTAAACCCTACATTTAATTCTCCTGTAATCCATCTCTTTCATCTTCATACATTTAACAATTCTTCTAAATAAAAAGTGCCCTAAAATATCTTAGGCACTGCAGATTTTTAAAATCCTAATTAGCAGCTGCTACAAGGTTTTTCAGTTCTTGGAAGCTGTTGTAGCTCTGCTACTGTAACCATCTATTTTGTTGCTTGTTGTACCCAGAAAAACTAGAGAAAAGCCTAAAGCTGGGCTGTGATATGAGAAACCCTTTAGGTTGTAGCTGTGGATATGGACCAAAAGATATGTGTTTGCACCATTTTAGATTTAATGGTAAAATAAAATAAAGGGTCAGGAAAATGGAAAAGTATAGCAGAATTTTACTCTTGTACTGTTTGTGGGTTGTTGGCCACAAACAATGATTAATTAAGTTCTAACCCTGAACTCCCCCGATGGACCTGAAGTAAGAATTTAAACCCCTTTGTTCCCTGCTTGTTCTTCAAGGATTAAAAGAAATGTTTGTGAGCAACAGAAGCAAGAATTTTCTGTTCAGAGACCTCAGTCTTTCATTATCTGAGTTTTAAAATCCTCTGAAACCCTTCTCTGGGGATGTTGTTGGGTTTCTGCTTCTCATTAAGGTAATGAAAATTCTTGAGCCTGTATTTAGAAATGAAAGGAGACTTCCATAGTGGGCCAGAGTGGAAAAGTGTTAAAATCCATGACTAGTGCTCATCTTGAATTTATGGAAAGGACAGAGCTTCTCTCAAACTACCTACGCACAGCCTTTTATCAGAGCTTCAGTTGGAGGAGAGAGGCTCTTCCCTGCCGAGACAAGTGCTTAGGGATAAAAGAGCTTTCGACCCAAAGGCTGCCCTGCTTTCATCTCCGCTCAGCGAGAAAACTCATGAAGTTCAAACTTCTCTTTCTATATAAATTATCACATAAATTCGGCCACCGAGCGATCTCACAGAAGGCCGGACTGGGTCCGGCAGTGCGAGCTCCTGGGCCAGCTGGGTTATCCCAGAGCCAGGATCGTGTCCCGATGGCTCTGGAACATCTCCGGTCAGGGAGGCTCCAAACCTCCAACCTGCTCCCGTGCGTGGCACCGGTGACGAGCGCTTCTCTAACACTTGGAGCTTGTCGGTGGCTGTTTCACGGATTGAATCAAACACCAAAGAACATTCTTTTTAAATAAAATACATACATACATACATACATATATATACATATATATATATATATATATGTATGTATGTATGTATGTATGTATGTATTTTCCGTATTTTGCAGCGCTCAGGGGACGCGGAGTGTCCTTGCTCCCCTCAGGGACACCGAGCGGTCCCTGCTTCCCTGAAGGTCACGGACAGTCAGTCAGGGGCACGGACAATTCCCGCTCCTCTCAGGGGACACGGGACAATTCCCAATCCCCCCAGGGGACACGGGACGGTCCCCTCAGGAACACGGATAATCCCGGCTCCTCCAAGGAACTCGGGACACTCGCCGCTCCCCGCAGGAACGCGGGACAGAGAGCGCTTCCCCCAGACCGCGCTGCCCTCAGGCCGCGCCGCCATGGCCGGCGCGTTGCTATGGCGCGGCCCCGCCCCGCCCCTCTCCGCGCGTCCCAACATGGCGGCGGCGGGCGGGGGCCGGCGGGCGCTGCTCCCGTTCCCGGTCCCGCTCCCGGTGCCGCTCCCGGTGCTGCTCCTGGTGCTGCTGGCGGCCGCCGCCACGGCGCGCCTGTACCGGCCCGGGCACGACCCGCTGACCGTGCTGACGGCCAGCTCCGTGCGGCCGGCGCTGCTCAACTCCTCGGCCGCCTGGGTGGTGCAGTTCTACAGCTCGTCCTGCGGCCACTGCATCGCCTTCGCGCCCACCTGGCGAGCGCTGGCGGGGGACGTCAAAGGTGAGGCTCGGAGCGAGTCACCGCACACGGCCCCGCCGGCCCGGCCGCTGGCCCGCGGCCCTTCGCGGCCTCCCGCCGTGCCCGGAGCCGGTGCAGGGCCGCGGCGGTGCCTGGCGGTGCCCCGGGGGGCGCTGGGCTGGGGGACCGCGGGGCCTCGGTCACTGTGTCACCGGCGGGCCACGGCACGTGTGCCCGGGGGTGTGTGAGCATCGCCTCATTCCCTGCTCTGGTGTGTGAGCATCGCCTCATTTCCTGCTCTGGTGTGTGAGCATCACCTTCATCCCCTGCTCTGGTGTGTGAGCATCACCTTCATCCCCTGCTCTGGTGTGTGAGCATCATCCTATCCCCTGCTCTGGTGTGTGAGCATCACCTTCATCTGCTCTGGTGTGTGAGCATCACCTCATTCCCTGCTCTGTGTGTGAGCATCACCTTCATCTGCTCTGGTGTGTGAGCATCACCTCATTCCCTGCTCTGTGTGTGAGCATCATCCCATCCCCTGCTCTGTGTGTGAGCATCACCTTCATCTGCTCTGGTGTGTGAGCATCGCCTCATTTCCTGCTCTGGTGTCTGAGCATCACCTTCATCTGCTCTGGTGTGTGAGCATCACCTCATTCCCTGCTCTGGTGTGTGAGCATCACCCTCATCTCCTTCCCTGGTGTGTGAGCATCATCTTCATCCCCTGCTCTGGTGTGTGAGCATCACCCTCATCCCCTGCTCAGGTGCTGCCACACAGCCAAAATAGCACATGGGACAGAGCCAGGGGTGCATGGAGGAAGCACACCTCCAAATTAAAGGTTTTGAAGGAATCCAGGCATAAAACTTTACCTTGCATGCACTCAGCAGTGTGGTTTGCATGTAAGTGTCCCTGTGAACCTGAGGTTTGTTTACACTGAGCTCTTGAAGGCATGATGTTTTTCTTTTAAATGTTTTATCAAGACAGCAGCTTGTTTCAGAGGATTAGCAAAAAATACTGTGGTACTGGAGAGGCTGTGTACACATTGATTTATATCTTGCAAATTCAGTGTGGTGTGGATGGGCTCAAAGGGGGAAAAGGACCACCAGAAAATAATACAAAAATCAAGCAAAGTGAGAACAGGGTTTCATATTTATCAATTAGTGACTTTAAAAGTAATGGTGGCATCTACAGTTTATGCTCAGGGACCTGCCTTGCTGTCTCTTAGCCTGCTCAGTATTTTTGGCAGGTGCTGAAGAGTTTTATTCTATTTGTAAGGAAACAAACAGGCCTCTGAGGTATCAATTAAAGTTCAGTACTTCTGCTGAGATCAGATTTGTAGGAAATGTTATGCTTAATATAGCAGTGTAAAAGGCTTTTAAACTACTCTTAAATTCACATTTCACCCAGGAGATGTTTCCAGGATGGATTCAGCAGTTTTTAATGCACTCGTGGTTTCACTTTGAGAGGAACTGAAGAGTTCTGGCCATTCTGTGACACTCTGAAAAGCATTAACAGCTCACATGAAATGTAGGTGAAGTATTAGGTGTGCATTTAGATCTCTGGAAATGGAAACCCACCCTAAAATAGGCGTATCACACACTGAGGAATTGTGATTGGTGAGCAAAGACTCAAAAGCAGAGAAACACAGAACTGTCATGGTTTTCAGAGCACTTCAAATGCTCCTTACTTGCATGAAGGGTTTGTTTATAAACCAGTAACTTTCTTCTGTTTAATTTGCATAAGTTTATGTAACATTTTCTCTCCTGCTTTAATCTGCTCATGGCCAAAATAATATTAGATCTTCTCCTCCTTTGAAGTAACAAGGAGGTCTTTGAGCACAGCAGTGGAGAGCAGGAAGAGCCCAAACTGGCCAGAGCTTTGGTCAAAATAAGACAGGGATTTAGGTAGGATTACAGCAGTGTGATGCCTTTGTAACTTGTAAAGACTTCCTAAAATACACATTTTCTTCCTCACCAGCAGACATGGTAACTGCAGATGCTGTTATACACTTATATCACTGAAATCAGTTAAAGGCCTCTCTCCTTTAATCCATTGAGCTTTTATGAAAACT